ACATGCGGGAAAGGAGCCACACGTCGGATTCAAACCTGGGCTGCCTCCATACATGGGGCGCACACTCTAACCACTGCGCCACCAGCGCCCTGAGTCATATATCTTTTAATTGAAACACATACATTTTCTATTATCATTTTAGTTCTGAGTTTATTCCACTGTGCTGTGGAGTTTAGTTAGTAAAAACTAAAACTCCTGTGTGACCGGGATGAAAAGTTTTAAGGTTTTTTTTTCATCAAATTCTCAAAGTGCTGACAAAACGAAGTGAAACTTGATATTTCTAGAACTGTCCTTTGGGGGTACTCAGCCATGGAGAAAAAGTAATTCAGCAAACCTGTGGTAGAAATGACAGAGCAGGACAATGGCTGCCGTTTCACTTCAAGCAGAACCATTGTGCATTCCCTTGACGTCTGTCTTTACCTTCATTGGAAACTGAACATTGCCTCAGTAAGCGAGCGTCATTTCCACACTGATTTACACCTGGAATATAAAAATGATTTGCAGAAATAGTTTGAGGCACCAACAGTCGCACATCCCTTTGATGTTAACAAGCGGTAAATCAGGTTTCAGAGAGAGAGGAAGATGAAGAGGCAGGCTGAGCGATGAAGGAGGGAGGGCGAGGCGGAGACAAAAGGAAACGAGAAGGTCAAGAAAGGGAAACGGGGAATGTTGGGCCAGATATAAAGAAAGTTAAAGGAAAGGAAGAAAAAGACAAATTGAAAAGAGAAAGTAAAAAGGAGGAGGGTTGGGCACTTTTCCTTTTATGTTTGGGGAGCAGACGCAGAGAGAATAAAATATTGAAAGAAATTAGAAGGTGAGAGGAGATAGAGAGGAAATGGTTTAGCTCTGATCTACAAAATGTTAACCTCTTTGGAGATCAAAGAGTTTCTTCAGAAGCCAAAAAAATGTCACCCCACACAATGTGTGTGTAGATTCTTCTCTTATCAGGAAAGAAGAGATACTCTGCCAGAAGCTGACGCAAACCTGAATTCAATATTTTAACGTTAGATGTTGTGAAAAATGTTTTATAAGGCTGAAATATCATAACCTTTGAATGTCATTATCACACCCAGACATGTTGGTTGTGTAGAGCCTATCTTTGACATATTTTACTCTTTCATTTTTCACATTCTTTTTGATAGCTGAGAGATGTGTTACATACATCGAGAATGGCAGTCAGTGTAACCTTCAATTTAGGGCGTTTTCACATTAGACACAATTCTTTCTTACCATGACCGAGCACGATTGCTCCACCCTCCCCCACTGTTCTGCGTTCACATTAGTAACATCGTTCTGTGCCCGATTACACTTTTGTATGTTCACATTCTGGTACAGCAGGTGGCAGTATGCACATAGTTGGTTTGCAAATTGGCCAAAAAGCTGAAAGAAAAAGAAGCAACCATGGCAACCACTCGCAGTCTGAGTCAATCCTGCTAACTGTGAAGGTTTTTTTTTTTGTTATTACTGAGAGGCCATCAATGACCCTCTTCCTGCTTCCACATCTAAAGTGCAGAGGACTAAATGATACAATGTTTTTTGAAGCAGCAGGAGCCGTTTATAATTACGCCATATAGCGGTTAATTTCATTGTTTGAGCATGGTTGCGTTCACATCTTTTATCCACTCTATTTTCATTCCCATTAAGTGCTGAGAAAATTAAAAGAGCTGCCTGTCAGGAATGTGAGAGCTGCAGGTCAGTATTGTGCATTACTGTGCAGACTTGAGAACTCAACCAATCACATAATAAGAAGTAAATGGCTGCGCACAGAGCTACAGAGTTTAGACCTGCACATTATTCTAAAAATGGAGGGATCTATCTATGGATCACATATTCAACTTGTTTGACTTTCTGCACTTTTAAAGATGTATTTATGAGCTTTCTATGCCTTTATTTTAGAGATAGGACAGTTCATAGAGTCAGAAATCAGGGAGACAGAGTGGGGAACGACATGCGGGAGCCACAGATCAGATTTGAACCCGGGTTCACCCGCCTGGAGGACCGAACCTCCGTATATGGGGCGCGCACACTAACCATTAAATTACCGTCGTGCCCCAAGATTCTGCACTTTTAACATGAAACGTTAATATGGACACCCAAAGGTTGCAGAAAAAATGACGTGGCACATGACATGGTATACGGTAAAATAATAATGTTGCAGTAGAATTATTGATTATTTTGGGGTAAATAAGAGGAAAGGAGAGAGGAAAGATTTGCAAGCTGGAATTCCTCCTGGAAAGATATCAATTGAGGCTCTCTGGTCCGCAACCTTGTAAAAATGGGTATGACTAGATAAAAATCAACTGTTGTGACACACCAGGGAACTGTAGCCCAGGTAAATCAATGTTAAAAATACACATATTCATTTAAAAACAGAGCATTGGAATGAGTGTGAAGCAGAAATGAGGTGAAGGAGGGAATAAACCTCATCTATGGAAATTCATAGACTTACCTTAGAAAGTAAAAGAAAGGTTAAGAAACAATGAAAGTGCATACAGACAGACAGACAGACAAACAGACAGCCATGGACAGACAGGCGGTCTATCTGAGACAGGCAGACAGTGGAAGACTGACAAAAGGAGTGGACGTTAAATGTGAGGCTGAAAGTGAAATAGGAAGTGGTGGGGGAGAAAAGAACGAGGTGCGCGGGATAAGTGTAACGTGGAGAGATGAAAGAGGGCGAGGGAGATAATAAGGGAATAAAGCTGAGCGCAAGAGGGAGGGAGGATAAGTGTAGGGTAAAGAAAGAGGGGGGAGGAGAAGTTCTACACATGCCAGGAATAGGTGAATGATTGTGGACATGCAAGGAATCAAAAATAATGAGCAGGAGTGACAGGGAGCGGAAGAGAATGGAAGTAAATACATTCAAAATAGATTTCTGCAATTGAAACCATTTCATACTTTCACATTGTGATAGATTTGACCTTTGTGCAGTCGGAGAAGTTCTGTCGTATAAAAATGAAATCATAATGATAGTTTTTAGGCGGTTCAATTCAATTAGATGAATCAAGTCTGTAAAAGTGAATGTTGTGGTAAAATATTAACTTTTCTCCTATAACATTTAGAAATGACTTGAGTGCATTCATTGTTTCTAAATTGTAGTTGAATTTGTTTTCTGTTGCATACTAATCTTTGTATCCTTAATAGGAATTTGGGTAAATAAAAGTTATCTTAGCACTTCTGGCAAGAACTTTTCATTTTCATTGTAGCATGTAAGTATTTGTAGTGATGTTGGATAGGCCTAAAATAATAAATAACCCTGACTAAACATAATATAAAATACAATTCCGTGCATATGTAGTGGAAAAACACAGCTACTTGATAGAATGAAAAATAATATCCCTCAATGCGTTATGCTCACTTATCTCCCGGCATGAATCCATTGTTGCTAAAACTACGTAGGACGATTTGTCCAAAACATGCCATCTCAATCAGTCACACAAGCTGAGGCGAGAAATGAAACTGACTTAAATCCCAGTTTTTCATTGTTCTGCCTGTCAGATTGTATGTTTGGGTGCTGTCCACTTTCTAAAATACAACCATAATAATCCAGTGTCTACATGCATTTTGTTATCCACTTCAGATTCGGTCTAATTGGAAAATTTAGAGCAGAGCATCTAAAAGCAGATATGTGCATTTCCATAATCACGGTAACAGCTGCAAACAGCCAGCATGTAATGATGCTTTTAAGAACACTCACCTGTGATTTCAGGTCAGGCTGAAAAAAATGACCAATAGACAAGACTGTATGGAAACTGAGAGGTTATAGTTAAGGAGGATATTTTACTTAACAGATATAATCTGCAGTGTTTTGATTAAAATATATAGTTTGATTAAAGTTGTAAAAGGGTCTGTTATTTTCAAAAATATTTTAGAAAGGGGAAACATTTTTATTCCTTTTTAGCAGCAAATTGTGTAAATGCACTTACTTACTTCTCCCCACTGCAGAAATAGTTAGCATACCTGTGGGTAATCTAGTGTTTTGTTTAGCGAGTCAGTTTTGAGAGCACAACGACCTTTCTTCCTAATATGCGGCCTCTCAAGAAGTCCGCCAAGTAATACACTGATCAAACACAACATAGACCCCTAAAAGTGTACCTGTTTCAGATGGGTTATCATTAGAGATTTAGCCAATTGTGTTTCATGACTTCTTTTGGTGTGAGACTTTCATGATGCCGCCATTTTCTCTCGTATTTGACAATGAGATCAAGTCAGATTTTGTGCAACAGGTGACTTCATTTGCCCAATAAAAATCACTATGAATCAGTAGTTAGGTGTAATTGATGTCATGTATTAAATTGATGCGGCACAATAGATAAACATCATCTACTGACATCGATTCATGCCACATTATTTGCTGATGTGCTGATGTCTGTCAACAGGGCGATTACTGGCCGTGCATCCCTACTCATCATGTTATGATTTTAAAAAACAGCGACAGTGTGCTGCAAGTGAAGAGTAATGTCAGTGAAAGCGTTTTAAATGTCAGCTCTGGCAGTTTTTTTCCAACAATTATGATGTTTATTTTTTACTCTGATACTCCATATTGCCTAGGCAATATATCAAAATGATTTACTGGTTTTCGACTTCCACATGTACCACTTTAAATACGTTGTGTTTCAGATTGTGGAGGTGACATGAGCTCTCTTGGTATTCTCAAAATGCTGCAATATGTGGCAGGAAGGATGTGGCAGACAAGCTTATTATTAACCATTCTTCATAGGGCACTTTTCAAAACACTTTTCTAAAATGCTTTACAAAATGAATAAAAATAAAAGCAATAAGTGACAAAATATCATATTTGCTGTGAGAGCATGAAAGCTCTGATGAAAACTGCCTTCAGGCTGTGCTTAAGGAAAACAAAACAGTGGCTGCATTAGATTCTGGAGAAGTCACAGAGTTTAGTCTCAATGAGGTCAGTTGGATGTCCGACTCTGCAAGCACCTTCTCAGGATTTGAACACAGCTCCTCACATTCTTCTTCTCCTATTTTTCTCTCCTCAGGTTTCCCCAAACTGCGACCAGGTTTTAGTGAATGGTAAAGAAATGCGCGGTCGCCAGTCCCTGGCGGTAAACTTCACCTACCTGCACCTCTCTGCTCAGCTGCTGCTCACTGTCTGGGTGCCAAAGCTTCCTCTGCAGATAGACGTGTCAGATACAGAACTGAGCCAGGTCAAAGGCTGGAGGGTTCCCATCATCACTAACAAGAGGTAGGTTCTCTTCATAACCTGAGGAAAAAAAGTGGGCGTAAACACGAGTCTCATTTAGCTGCATCATGTTGTCATGGCAGTTATCCTACTAAGCCTATTTCTTTTTATTGTGGTGTTACATGTAACTCTTTATAAAATCTAATCATATTCATACATACACCATCAACAATTCATAGACTCAAACAAAATCAATTAGGTAAGCCGTTGCTGAGCGGGTTTAACACGCTATCAAATAAAAACAAAAGGCAGCCGCGGATCCAAAGTCAACTTATAAACTATATTTATTAATAGAAAATAGAAAAAAGCAAAAATAAACTTCACAAAATAAAATAAACAAACAGATCGCTATATAATGTATATCCTAAGCGGCCCTTTGCAGTCAAAAGACTGTTCCGCTTCCCCACTCTCACTCTCCCCCCAGGTGTCCTTAATCAACTTAAATTACACTGCCGACACGCCGCGGCTCCGCCCCATAGAGGGAAAAATAATGCACAAATACTCCCAAGTCAATTAACAAAATGTAAAACCAAAATAAGCCAGAATAAACAATAATATAAACAAATAATTCTAAATTCATTAATATTTGGCTCTTTTCAATTTTTGAACTGTAAATATTTCATATGGCCATTTGGCCACAACAGAACATATACATTTTATTTGTGTTTAGGAACTTTTTAAAGTCGTTAGAGAGCAGAAACAACAGCAAGAAGGAGGTTACAATATACCATGCTGTGCTTCAGCATATGCCATGTTGTACTCCCTGTTCTGCTTGAACACAATCAATGCTTATTGTTTCTTCAGCACACCGCGAGTTAGAAAAAAGATAACATAGAGACTGTGTGAGTCACGGGTGTTACTTGTGTGTTATATAATAAATAGTAAAATACTGGGTTTTTTTCTGAGAGAAAAGAATGAATCCACAGATGCAATGTGTGAATGTGTGTGTTTCTGTGTCTTATGTTTGTATGTGTGAGTGTGTGTGTGTGTGTGTGTGTGTGTGTGTGTAAGAATGTATGTAAGGTGTCTGATATATTGCTTATTGAATGGAACAGTTGAGAGCACATATGGTACAGGCCAGTCTATAATTTCACGAGGTCAAGGCTTGCCTGACTATACTGATGAAAACTATTATAGCTCCAGCATCATTGCCATTGAATGAAGCATTCATTCACTTGAACACAATAGCACACAAGTACACACTCACTAAAAAGGGTGACGACACTCAATAGTTTACTTCCTGAATATCTGTGTTGTTGCTTATTTTCCACACTTTTTGTAAAGTGTCTTGAGATAACACTTGTTATGAGTTGACGCTATACAAAGTCAATTGAATTGACTTGAATTGAATTGAATACTTGTGTGTGTCTGTGTGTTCATAAGCAATATTCTCTTCTGTTGTGTATAGCTTTTTGTGTGTTTACGATGCAGTTTGTGAAAGTAGGAAGGAAGGTAAATGCATTACAGTATATAGAGAAAGTCTATGACTATGTATTTTTATTCAGAATTGGATAAAATGTATATGGACCTTTACATATTATATAGTATATTTGTGCTCTCTATTTTTGTTATAGTTTTTTAAATAGTTTTATTTCAGTCTGTATCCTGATTCAACAGGGATGAAATCCAATATTTGTGTATTTGTGAAATTAGAGTTCTGGCCTGGTGGTTATTTGTGCGACCCATGTGCAAAGGCTATGGTCGCCGTTTCAGCAACTGTGGGTTTGGGTCCAACCTGTCATCCCCCGCTCTCTCCTCCCATCATTTTCTGTCTCCCTTCACTTCATCATTAAAAAAGAAACAGAGACCTGGTGGAAACTTAATAAATAACTCATAAATAACTTTTTAAACACAAACTTTAAAAACATTTAGAATATGCATGTGCCTTTCCTGTGTAAGGTAGCAAACACCCTGTTCCTAATGGTCCATGTCTTTTCTTACTACACATGTAAGCCTACACCTTTGTTTTTATGTGCCATTTCGTGAATGCATGGCCACATGTGACAGTGTGTGCAAAGTCATTTTTGTCTCTGTTACTTATTTTCCCATCTTGCCGCCTTCCACTCTGCGATACTGGGCCTATTTTTCAATTTTGTGAATTTCTGCTCAGAAAGCCACTACTCAGTGTGTGCACACACGCACACAGACACACCTCCATCTCCCCTAACCACTGTCTCAGAGTGAAACACAAGCACAATTAGACACACAGTCTGACTCAGACACATTTCACCAGGGACCCTGGAAAATGGGAAGAAAATTCCTGTAATATCACCTGGGTTTCACACTCCGGGACTGGTCTAGGACACAAAAGAAGCCCTTTGTGTGTATATGTTCCTGTGTTTATGTATCAGCCAGTGTGGGCCTGCTCGCATGTTATATTGAGTATAAGTATTACACAGAGGGAGGTACAGGAATGTCTGTGTTGCTGTGAGAGAGAAAGAAATATCTACTCAGGAGGTTTTCCATTTTAACACCGAAAGTTTATTCAAAGCACTCTCCCATTCAGTTTATTTCTTTATTTTAGGTTGATCATAAGTCCTCCTTGCCTGTGGAATTACACCCACCATGTATTAACTTGCCATACATATTTTTATTGTTCTAAAAATGTCTTCTTTTTTTTTTCTTTTTTTTTAACAATTTCATTTTTATAGAAAATTGTCATTTTTAAAGACTAAAAATGATTAATGGCAAAGATTGATTTTGGTAGAATTTTTGGGGATTTTTTTGTAAAACGGCTGCTTTGCTTTTTTTTAAGATGACAAGGTGAAGTATTCAGTTTTGCAAGCAGCTTTCAAAAACAGTAATCATTCAAAAGAAGTGATAAAAGTGCACATGCAGAGGACATTTAGGGATTTTAAAAAGGCTCTCCTGCAACTATGACAAAATTAGATTAAATAGAGTGCAGCTCTACAGAGCTCTGAGAAAATATAAAATGAATATACACCCAGGCTGATTCAAAGACTAAAACTAAAATCTTAATGCCTGGAATAAAAACACAAGAATGATGTCAGTTTCCTTGCAAAACTGATGTAATCAGATTTACAGACTTAACAATAACATGGAGTCACATTGCTTTGATATAAAAACACCAAGACATAAATAGCTGTGTGTCATCTGCATAGTGATTCTAACAGAGTTATTGTTATTAATTGAGCAGATCCAACGCATTTCAAGATCAAGCAAGAGTGTTCCAAAGATCGACTCCTGTGGGACTCCATTTGGCATGTCAAATTTATGATAGCTAAAAGTTTAAAATACATTTTTGCTGCTCAAATTATGATGATATCTAAGTTATAAGATGCTTTTCTCTTCCGTAATGTCTTTCTTGTTTTATGCAAAGAAAAAAAAAAGAAATTAAATCATAAAAATAGAATCATTATTATTATTAAACTGCAGCATAATACACATCCCTGTTTTCATAAAGATCGTCTAGTTTCATTTGGCCTTTTTTATGCCATGTTTCTGCTTTTTGATTGTGTTCGTTAGAGTTGCAGTTCCCTTCACTGGAGGAACTGTTCCAGAAAAAGTTCCAACAGTCTAGCTGAAGTGCAACAGGCACACTCATCTGCAGACAGCAGTAACACAAAAAAGGAGAGCAATCTAAGTTGCTTTTGAGTTCATTTGTTCAACCAGGCATTCCAAGACATTCATGTTGTATGACTGAAGTTTTATTTTTTGAAGTTTTATAACTGGATTAAAAGATGAAGTATCTTTTCTTTGATTTGGAATATAACCTTGAGCAGAGATTATACAGTAGATCACCTTCAGCTCTTTGTAGAATCTAAAAATGGCATTTAATTACCAGATAATCTGACCCTTTATTCTCTCTCACTCTCTCTCTCACTGTCATGTATCTCCTTTCATTTTAGACCTACGAGAGACAGTGAAGATGATGAAGACGATGAGAGGAAGGGAAAAGGTTGCACCCTACAGGTATTATGAAACTGGATTTTCATATCATTCTAAAAATTAGTATCTTTAAACACTTTTCTTGAATGTCAACATGCCTTAAAAAGAGTATCGACCTGTCCTACTTCAGAATGCAGTGTGACTAACTGTATGTTATGTAACTCACAAGCTAACACACAGACATAAGAGCCCATCGTGTGGTTAAGTATTAGAGTCTAACATAACCGTTGTTTTGATCTCTCAGTACCAGTATGCCTTGGTGCGAGTCCTCACTCATTTTGTCGCAGAGCCCTCTGACCCAGGAGGAGAGATGGTCTACATGTTAGGAGCAGACTGGCAAGCAGATATCACTCATTTGGTGTTGGATCAACTTAAGGTAGATGTACACAACTATTCTCACTTACTCACACAACCTGAAAAGGATTTAGTTTAACATTTTTTTTAATATACACACCCACAAGTGCCAGATGAATAGATTAAAACGTCTTTAATGTCTAATGTTTAACTTCTAAAAGAAAAGTTATTTGTAAATAAAGTTTACTTACTTACTAAATGGTAGTTTAAAACAACATTTTTATACAGCACTCATACAAGATAAATGCACAGAGTCTTAAGATCAGCTATGAACATATGAACAAACCTGAAGTGGATGCTTACAGATGTGTCTGTATCACAGGTGGAAGATCCTCGTATTGCACGACTGATAGACGGTCGAATCTTGATCGGACGTGACCTAGGGATCACAACTATACAGGTATGTACTCTCTCTTGGACTCTTGTCTTTCTACTAGTGATCCAGGCTGCTACCTTTAAGACTTCCTCTTATCCCAAATTGTGAATGAAATGGAAAAAAATATATCTTTAGTGTCACTTTTATTCGACTGAAACGTTAAGTTAAAAAAATGGGAGAAAGTTAGCACCAAAAGGAAAGAGACAGGTGAGGTAGTATTAGAAGCAAGTCCATCCAAGGAGGAAGTTGGACACATTTACTAAACACAAAGCATCCCAGAAAGAGGGCTGGAATTACATTTCAAGAATTCAGAAAAGGTGCTGTACGTTGACAATGTACTTATAACTTTCTAGACAACATATCTTGAGCAAGAAGGTTAGAAATGTATGATTATGTGAAGCAAGTGTAACTTGGCAACTCACATTACATCGAAAACCACTCCAGTGATGTAAACATTATCCTCTCTTTCTTCCTCTCCTGCCGCTATAAGCCTCGTCTGCAGGCTTGTTACACAGTTAGCCACAATTAACTGTCGGATTTGGCCCTGACATCTCAGTGTGATGTTCAGCAATTATACACAGACATACTTACTTTGGCACACAGTGAACACACTTGTGCTCTTGCTGAATTCCTATAAGCCGGTCCATTGTGAATAAAGTGACAGAGGAGGACAGTCCTGAAGCTTAATGTCTAATTTTGCTGGTTTACTGTTATAAACCAGAGCGGAGGCAAAACCTCCTTATATGTTAAATGACACACATTTTATGTAATTTTTTCCTATTATGTAAAATCACCATCTTTCATGTAACAAATAACTAAATATGTTTTATGAATCAGGATAAAATTTCATTTTAGGTTCTTGGTTTTGCATGATTGCTCTGAAAATTGTGTCGTGCGTGCATTAAAAGTGGTTTGGCATCGAGTGGAGTGCAGCAGTGGGAGGATATCTTGGGGATTTTAGGGAACAGCTGAGTGTGTGTTTGCATCCATTCGACTGGGGACTGCTGCATGCATGCACAGACACACACGCTCCTAGTTGCACGCATACAGAGACAGCTGTGCTCTGTTTGGGGAGCCAGGAGAGAGAATTTACCCAGCATTCCCATTGAGAAGCCAGAGCCGACAGCCGTCATTTGATAGTTTGACATTTCAATTTTACCCCCAAGCTCCGTCTCCCCGAGCCACCCCTCCCCGTCTCCCTCACCCTCCCTTTCCCAGACTCTCTTTCTCGCCCTCTTATTCTCAGCCTGTCTTGAAGAGCAATCCCAAAGCCGTCAATCATTGCATTTTGTTACCTCGCCGAGGGTGGATTGAGTTTGATGCCCCAACACGTTCACTGAGAGATTTTCTTTGTACACCAATCAGATCTGCCTGTCCTCCTGTCGCCGGGCGAAGTAGTATACTACAACAACGGGATCCTAATCTCTATCACTGTCTGTCTGTATCCCCCTCTCTCTGTCGGTTCCTCAATCTCTTTGGCGCTCCGTCTCTCTGCCCCTCTCACTTTCTGTCCTACTCCATTTGTCATTGTCTCTCTCTTTGACACCCTCTTCATTTATTTTTCTCTTGTTCACTCGCTCTCACTTTCACTCACTCTCTTTCTTTCGCTCTCTTTTACTCCTTCAGTTGTGGCCTTGTGCTTTTTTATGCTAAGTTGTCCTCGTTGAATGCTGACACACTGGAGCACAGCTGGGAGACAGATATGAACAATGTTGCCGTGTGTCACAATGTGTCCGATGTGAAATAAAAGGCACTGTGTTTTCAAGCCAATCTTTTCTCACACTTTTGGACACATTTTGGTCACACTTCTGTAGAATATGTAACTGTAACTTTTAACCAGCTCTCAGGACCAGCAGTGGCTCAGTTGGTAGAGTCGGTCGTCTCTCTCTTCAATACGCAGCTCCTGCAGCTACATGTCCAAAGTGTCCTTGGGCAAGACACTTCACCCCGAAGTTGTTCCTGCTGCTTTGACGGCGGCTTATGAATGTGTATGAATGGGATTAGTTACTTCTGATGGACACTTTACATTGCAACCTCTGCCATCAGTGTGTGAATGGGTATGAATGGGTAGGTGTGACCTGCGGTGTAAAAGCGCTTTGAGTAGTCAGAATACTAGAAAAGCGCTATACAAGCTAATTTACCATTTACTGTCACTGCTCCTCTGTCAATGTTACACACAGATCTGTCAGCTAAAGGCAGAAATCACTGAGACAAAAACATAAACTCTTACATGCAAGTATCTCCAGTCTTTACAAGTTTCCCATTCCCATTCCTGATTTCGTATTTCCAGGAACTAAAAAAGTCGATGTTTTACCAGGAATTATTATCCTGCAACATTTTGACACACAAGCTGTCAGTCCTGTTAAACAACAAGCTTGTTATTAATGCGCTTTCTTTTTTTACTTGAGTTTTGCAGCAGCTGAAAACAGATCGTCAACGTGTATTTCTTTCCTGGAAAAGAACTAAGGCAGGGGATGTTAGAACAGGAAACATGTAGCTGTCATAGAGAGCGTATGTTTGGAGGAAATCCTAAGGAACTCACATTTTGGTTGCATTCGATTTGCCCATATGAAGGCACTTGTTACTATATTGGTGGATGGATAGGTAAGGAAGCTAACACTTGATTTAATGTTCTTTTAAATCTTTTCATTTGTTGTCTGATCTTTTTATTATAGTTCTGTCCCCGCTGTCTGATTCTATCCTAGCAGAGAAGACTGTACAGTGTTGGATGACAAGGTAAATATGTCATTATATAGGTTTTAGGTCCCTTAAATTGGAATTTATATGTAAACTTGTTGTT